TAGGACCATCTCCAGTAAACTTCCTCTTTTTGTAATGTGGTTTGTGCACTTGTTCAACCACATTAGCCTTAGACTCAATGGAATTTTTCCCATTCCTCTTTTCAGTCTTTCGGTTATCTTCCTCAATTCTCAATCTTACAATTAATTCATCCATGGTTATCTCCTTGCGTTTATACTTTAAATAATTTTTGAAATCTTTCCAAGCCGGTGGTAACTTTTTCACTAAAGCAGTGACTTGGAAAGACTCGCTAAGAGACATACCTTCAGAATGAATATCATGCAAAATTATTTAAAAATTTTGAACTTGAGAAATTACCATTTGGGAGTTTACCATAACGAAGTCTAGAAATTTACCGACAACAAATTTCTTCGTGCCCGCATCCTCTGTCTTGTATTTTTTCTCCAAAGAATCCCACAATTCTTTTGCTGTTTTCAGAGGGTTGTAAACATTATACATCATGTTGTCAAGGCCATTGAGGATGTAGTTTCTACACAGGAAATCAGAATGTTTCCAATCATCTACAGCGGCAACAACTTGCCGATCACTTTCATCTTCTCTAAGTACTGAAGCCTCTTCACAGAGAAACTAGGCCAAATTTAGAGTTGTAAGATAGAACAACATTTTCTACTGCTATCTTTTAAACTCAGTACCGTTAAATTTTTCCCATTTTTCTCCATGATTTATTAGAACTTGAACATGGTTCTGGATAGGGACCAGAGTTGGTGTAACAATTGGAGTACCACTTCTAGTTGCAGTTTCAGTTGCAGTAGCCATAATATCTGATTACAAAATTAGAAAAAACCAAAACACAAATTAATTTTATAGTTACTAAAACCAGAAAATAAATTATAATACAAAATAATTTTATTTTCCATGTTTCTAAAACTAGAAAAATAAAATGCCACAATAATTTTCTGTAACAAATTAATATTCTGCAATTGTTAATGACACCAGTATATTACTACTAGTTGTCGAAGAAAAATAAATAGTATATTACTACTATTTGTATTTTTCAACCAGAATATCACTTTGTGAAATCACAAAAAATTAATTTGTCAATCTTCACTATATTTGAAAACATAAATTCGGGTTGTGTACTTAACAACAAACAGAATACAGAAGAAATAAGAAAATAAGAAAATTTATTTGATTACAAAAATCAAACCAAAAAATAAAATAAAATAAATAAAACAGATTTTTATTTTGTTATAAAAACAAAATGAAAATCTGAAAAAATAATAAAGCAAAAAATAAATTAATTACTTACCAAATTAATTTTCTTAAACAAATTTTCTGACAAGTCTAGTGTTCAACACTGTGTCCTTAAGACAGATTCGTCCTCTCCACGGTGTTTTCAGAATATTTGAACGTCTATCTCCCAGGATAAAATGATCAACAGTGAACGATAGCAGCACTACAAATTATTTGCACAACGAACACATTAAGTGTTTATACTTTTTCTCACAGAAATTTAATGCAGCAAAATGCAGAGAATTATTGCAGAAGAGAAATATGAAAATTGTGTACGAAAAAATCAATAGAGGGTTTGTCTATTTATAGGAGAAAAAATGGCTGTTTGGTTTGAACTAAAGAAGTGCAAACCTATTCAGTTTGAATTGAACAGAAATGACACTGCTTGGGTTTGAATTTGAACAGATATAGAAACTGTTTCGATTTAAATTCAAACAGATAAAAACCGAGCATAATTTTGGTAGAGGGGAAAATCGGACAGATTTTTTTTGGAATTAATTTGAATTCTGGACAGAAATTTTATTTTACTAAAAAATAAAATAAAATTCAAATGTTTTTGGCCCAAAAAGATAGGTATTGGGCCAGAGAAGCCCAACCCAACCTCATACCACGCACCTAGCCCAGCCTGCTAGGACGGACGGACGGATGGTGGCGACACGGGTGGTTATTTTTGGGTCCAATGAGTTTAGCCCAATTTTCCCATAACCTCTCCATTTTACAAACTTGGGGTGCCCGTTGGGGCCCTCCCCAAGTTATAATTCCAAGGTTTATAAACCCATAAATTTTTTCCCACCAAACCAATATGGAACAAGCTTTTATTCAAACCTTTAAGGATTTTTCACAAAAACTCCATTTCCATGGAACACACTTTGGCTTCAATTTTTCATTCACCTGATAATGGTTTTGAGCAACCAAATATATCATGTAAATCACAACGCGACATAGAATACGTTACCACTTAGACCCGTCAACTTTGGCGCATGGGTCCCACCTAAAAATTAGACCAAAGTTTAGGAAAAATTCTGTTTTTTCAGAATTTCCAAAACCATTTCTAACAAATCCTTCTTGGTCTCTCTCTCTCTCTCTATCTCTCTCCCTCTCCTTCAACATATCATCCTCACTTTCATCTCCTTCAAGATTTTCACCACGAACCAGAGCCCCGACGAGAAAACCCTTCTATGTGCTTTCTTCACCAAATTGAATTCACTGGTTTTTTGAAGTTGTCCTTTTGTCAAATTTTTGATTTGATGTATAGGAATAACTCTTCATAGTTATGATGAATTAATGTATAAGACATGAAATTGTTGTTGTTTGATTTCTTAAAGGTTCAATTTTTTTTTTCTTCCCAAAGCTGTGTATGAAGAAGCTTTTTATAGGAATGATTTTAATGTATAGGATTCAATCTGTGAGATTTGGTTTGGTTTGTTCTTGATTTTTTTTGTCAAATTGTTGGTAGTTTTTGTTAGAACATGAACTTAAAAAAAAAGAAGAATTTAGCAGATTGTGAGGCACAAACAGTAACAACAATAAAACCACCACAACAACAACAAATTCAACAGTTGGATGTAAAATTTATTAGCAAGTTCAAATACAATTCATCTCATATGCTTGAAATTTGAAGTGCCTTCCACCTCTTTGTGCGGCACAAACAGTAACAACAATAAAACTACCACAACAACAACAAATTCAACAGTTGGATGCAAAATTTATTAGCAAGTTCAAATACAATTCATCTCATATGCTTGAAATTTGAAGTGCCTTCCACTTCTTTGTGCCCATCCAGGGCCAGCCTTGAGATTTATGGAGCCTTAGGTGGGCTTTGAAAGTCAGGCCTTCTTACATATATTTTTTTATAAAAAAGATTATGGATAAAATAAAAAGTTACCAATAATTTTTTTTATTATTTAGTAGCTACAAAAAGTTTCCTTATATATATAATCATTAAAATTTATTTTCATATATTAAGATACAAAAATATCATTATAAAGACTCAAAAAAGATAAAATAGGCTCTTGTTGTTTTATAGTTTAGCAATAATCAGCACAAACAATATAATTCACTGATATCTGATAACGAAATGATTATATTATTGTAATATGATATTTGATAACACAATCATAATCCACACAAATCACAATCCACTAATTATTTGATAATAAAACACAAATTATTGGGAAAAAATTGGGAGAAAAAAACGAAGGCAAAATTATTCAATTAAATTATGATAAAGAGAGAGGAAAAAAAAATTAAGGCAAATAAAATTAAGGAAAAGAAATTAGGGTAAAATTATTCAATTAAAATATGATAAAGAGAGATGGCAAAAAAATTAAGATAAAGTTATTTATTTTATTAAATTCTTGACATTAAACTCTATTTGGACTCATTATATCATATATATTTGTCTGGACTAATTATATAAATTTTTAATTAGGCCTAACAATGATTATATATTTATTTTTTAATTTAGCACAACATATTTTTTTGAGGAGCCTTTTAGACTAGTTCTCAAACAATAAAAAAATATTGAACTTCAAATTTTTAATCTAATATAAAACTAATAAATTTAGGTTTTTATTTTGGGCCAAAATTTGGGGGCCCTAGGTACAGGCCTTAGTGGCCTCAGCACATAGTCAGCCCTATGCCCATCTATACCCTGAAAAAACAATTTTAACACAAAACAATAGCAAAATAGCAACAAAAAAAAAAAAAGAAAAAGCAAAACAATAATAATTTTAGCACCAAAACATCAGCAATTTCAGTACCAAAACAACAGCAAAATAGCAGCAAAACAGTAATAATTTGGGTAAAAACAGTAACAATGGGCGATGGACGGTGGTCAATGGTGGAGAATGACGATAGTGGTTGAGATCGTTCGAATATGCGTCTCCTCCCCCCTCTCTCTCTCTCTGTTTGTTATCTCTCCGTTCTTTCACGTTTTGGGGGAATTTTGCTGAAACAAATTTGAATTTTGTTTTTTTAATGAGCTGAAGCAATCTGAGCCATAGGTTTTCAGTGGGGTGACGTGACCCAATTTGAGCTATCCCCCGTAGGAATACTGGAGAGGATCTGAACTCAATTTGTATATGAACCAAGCACTCATGACTCAAACATGTGATTAAAGCTGTGTTTAGAGGAGTAATTTTAGAGATTATTTATTTATTAGGATCTACGGCAAGGTTGATAAACTGTGAGTTTTTTTTTTTTTTCCGTCTATTCTAAAAAAGTTAAACTATTCACGAAATTGATTAACTTTTTAAATTATTTATTAAAATAATTCTTTTGTTAAAATTATAAGTTCAAAATGTGATTTTATAATAAAAGCAAATTTTGAAGATGTGATTTTACATGATCCACATTTATAATATTAATGGGTCATCGTATTTTAAGCTTGTGTGTTATAAAAAGTAAATTGGTTTGTTAAATAATTTAAAAAGTGAGTTTCTTAGATAAATAGTTTGATTTTTTTTTTTAAATATTTATAAAAAAAACTCAATAAACTGGTACTTGTTTGAATAGAGTATTTTAGTTGATTATTTGACCATTTTAATCTGATTAAAGAAATCGTGTTTGAGATGATAATTAATTTTTTATTATAATTAATTTGATAATTATAAAAAAATAAAAAATTAATTATAAATTAAGTATAATATTTTATCATATTAATTATTTTAATTTATTTTATTTTTATTGACTAGCCAGGCCTTAATTTCTGATTATTTTAATATAGCCCGACCGCAACAAATCTACGTTATTGATATTGCAGAGGAGGAGAGAGAATCGTGTCACACCACCTACCTTTCACTTCGTTCCTCCGAACCCCCGCCACCTCTTGTTTGGAGTCCTGAATTCTCTCTCTCTCTCTCTCTCTCTCTCCAAATTCTTGAAATTTCAATGGAAGCGAACGTTTATTCACTTTGCAACAGGTCTCCACGTTTGGGGCTTCCTACTCCATTTCTTGATTCCAGAGCTGTAAATCGAGTAGAGAGTCTCAAACCTGCTCAATCTTTCAAGCAACGATGGTTTAGGACTCCGAAGAAGCTACGGTGTCGATCAAATGCACCAGCCTCCGCTGTTTCTCAGTCTGAATCTCTTGGTTCATCGACGGTCGAAAAGACGGAGTCTGTCACTCCCGTTTATGTGCCTACGCCTCCCAATCGCGATCTCCGGACTCCGCACAGCGGGTAATTCGATAATCAAGTGCTGTTTTAATTTACAACTGTTGTTGTTATCAATTTTGATTGCTAGTAAGTTGTTTATTTCTAGATTTATTGAGTGAAGTTTTTGTATTCATGATTTCTGTATGTATGTATTCACATTGAGGGTTCATTTTGTAACATTGTTTACAATTTTCAGTTTTCACTGTTTAAATTAAATTTTTTTTTTTTTGAAAACTACAAAAAAAAGATGGTTTAGGGTCCAATGATGGATTGAGGGGGTGTGCGGATGGGAGCGATTGCATTGTACTAGTATATTGAAAATAATTTAAAATTATTGGGGTTTGCACCACTAGCATACTTTTGCACCCCTATAGTGATAATCCTCCATCCGTCCCTGTTAGGGTCTATATGTGTTTTCAAAAAATTGTAAATAGTTTACAAAATGGAAAATGTTATATAGTTTACAAAATGTGGGCCTACTACCTTTATGTCTAATGGTAAGAAATTGGTCTATATGGAAAATGTTATATAGTTTACAAAATGTGGGCCTACTACCTTTTTGTCTAATGGTAAGAAATTGGTCTATATGGAAAATTTTATCTAACAAAATTTACTAAATTCTTGTAAAAAAAAATGAAGTCAGTTTCCTTCCTTTAGAAAACAAAATTTCACTCATTCCTCCCTCTACCATCCATTTGTTATCACCACTATTGCAGTGCTGCCCATCACATTTGGCCACCATCTCCCATGAGCCAACAACCTCCCACTGGCAATTACCTCTGTCCACCGTCTGTTAGACTTTTAGCCACCACCCTTGGTGGCTGACAACCATTTCCGGCCACCCCTCTCACTTGTTTTTAAAAGTAAGTTTTTAAAACACGTGCATATCAAACATATGTTTTTATTTATGGTGAAACTATTTTTATATATGCTTTTACCAAAAATAAACATAAATATGTTTAATGTTGTATGTAAAAAAAATTGGTAAGTTGTAAATGTTATTGAATGACGCGTGAATGTCTTGATACATTTGAAGCACGGATTGCCTATAATGTTATTAGGGGCGCCTTGAGCTTTTTAGGTTCCCAAGCGAACTCCTAATATGGGACTAGGTGTGGAGTAATTCCGATGGTTTTTAGTCAATGGGTTTAGCAAATAGTGCAAGTTTAATTTACAACTAACCATATCTCAATAATATGTATATATATTTTAAAAAATCAAATAAAATAAAACTAAAAATTGCAAATTTAAATCAACTCTTGCTTTTGTATGGACTTTTAGTTATTAATGAAGATAGTTCTTTAGTCATTAATCGTCAATTGTGGTGGTTGTTGGTGATGGGGGTTGGCGATGACAGAGAGCTTCAAAGAGAGATATGAAAAAGAGGCGTAAAAAATGAGAAGGGGTCTCTTGGGGACTTAAGGTAGAAATTGTGTGTGGTGGGTGCAAAATAAGTTTGTTGTATATACATATAGGCGGGTGATAAAATCAGCCTTTGAATTTTGGACTTTAGCTGGGGCATTTCATTTGATTGAGGGTTAATAAAAATAATTTTGTTCTTGAGCTTAGTATATGGGCTGGACCTAGGTGTGGGCCCTATGATTTGAGTCAAAATTGGGTCCCCTAAATGGCTGCTTTGCCGGCTTATGCTTAGTGCCGGCCCTAAAAAATAGGGGCCCCCAAACGGCTGCTATGCCGGCTTATGCTTAGGGCTGGCCCTAATTGTTCCGACTTATATCCTATTTGGTTGCTCTGGAGAGAAGGGAAAGAACCGAAAAATTGCATTATAAATTCATTTATGCCTTGCATGGTTGCTGGGAAAAAAATTGAAAAAATAGCAAGTGAAAATAATATTTAAAATTTTCTTATTCTATTTCTGGTTGCTGATAAGATGAGAGAAAATATGAGGAAATGTTTTGTTGAGTGTTCTGTTTTTCTTTTTTAGGTTAAAGAAAATGAAAGAAAGGGAAAAGCTGTGCAATATTTCATACTCTGATATGTGATTGGGTTCTTGAATCAGGTATCATTTTGATGGAAGTACCCGGAAATTTTTTGAGGGTTGGTACTTCAAGGTGTCAATACCAGAACGGAGGCAGAGCTTCTGCTTTATGTATTCTGTGGAGAATCCAGCATTCCGTAAAAAATTGACAAGATTGGAAGAGGCACAGCATGGACCTCGATTTACAGGAGTTGGGGCTCAAATACTTGGTGCATATGACAAGTATATTTGTCAATACACTGAAGAATCTTGTAACTTCTGGGGAAGTAAGTTTTTATTGCCTTAAGATTTTGACTTATTGTTTTCGTTTCTCAATGGAACAGAAAAACTTCATAATGGTTCCTTATTAGTAGAACCATTCACTTTAGGCATAATTGACTTTTCTTTGGTATATTTTCTTTGTGATTTAGTAACTGCAATCTGTCCCCTTCTTTGCCTGAATGCTGGTTAGAGTATTTATTTATTAAAATATTGGTGCAATCATCTCATTATTATTTCACTATCAGAAGTGTTGACATGGGATTTTTTTAATGAAAAACTTGATTGCTATTTTTGTGAAGGCTTACATGTGTTTATATAATCAGATTGCTTCAGCTCCCTTCTTTTCAGTGGAAAGAGAAGTTTCATGCTTTATTGTGGAAAATCACATATTTATCTTGGTTCCATTTTTTATCTAATGCTTTTAGAATTTTGATTTATCATAATTGATTGTCTCATCCAGAATTTGTCGATGCATAGGTAGGCATGAGCTGACACTGGGAAATACTTTTATAGCTCAAAATGGCAAGAAGCCTCCAAATAAGGAGGTTCCACCTAAGGTTGTTTTCTTTCTTTGGATCATCTCCTTTCTATGTAAATGTTGATTTTTTTTTTTCGCTTGGATTTTCTCTAAAACATTGTCTTTCAAATATAACTGATTTGTACATAATTTATTGAATTATGTGATTATGAGTAAATTTTTGTATTTGTTTCCTTTAATCATGGGTTTTGAACTTTATCAAGTTGTGACCAAATGGTATATTGATGCTGTAAAAGACATATATGATGGAGTTCTGATTATGATTAGATCACCTGCAAGAGACCCCGGTGAATTTTCAATCATTGTAGGGTTGTATCAAGGGTCAGTTATGAGTCCTTACCTATTTGCCTAAGTTATGGATGAAGTAACCAAACACATTTAGGATGATGCCCTATGATGTATGTTGTTCATAGATGACATTGTTTTTGCCTTCGCTATGGATGAGATAACTAAACACATTTAGGATGATGCCCTATGGTGTATGCTGTTCACAGATGGCATTAGTGGATGAAACTAAGTAAGGAAACAACACTAAATTACAAATTTGGAGAGAAGCAATTGAGTCAAAAGGATTTAAAATTAATAGAAATAAAATTGAATATATGGAATGTAATTTTAATGACAATAGAAGTAGAAATAATGGAGAAGTAAAGATTGAACATGTAGATGATAAATAGTTGTGGATACCTTATTTTTATCACAGTATTATGCACAATTGAAGTACAGACATTGCAAGGGTGAATTTTTAAAATCCGGTTTACATGGAATTAGTTATCAAAGTAGTAAAAGGGATTAAGGCGTTCTTCCTGTAGGAGACATGATAAAAGATAATAAATAAAATGGAACTAGAATAAAGCTCTAGGAAAATTCACTTGGCCAAAAAATGATAATAGGAAAAGAACAAATAAATAATACTAAACAATAAAAAGCTAAGAGTAATAGTAATGAATAATAATAAGTAAATAACAAGAGAAACAAATAAAGCATAGTGTTCACATCCAACTCTGAAGGGCCACATGTGAGAATGCACATGGTGTTTGCATCCAGGTAACCATCAAAGTTGAGCCACCAAGCCACGTGTCCCCCCTCCCTCTTATTTATAAAAAAGATGTGGAATATGGATAATTTTTTCATTATTAACATTCATGAAGTTTCTCACACCTATTTTCCAATCTCTCATTTCCAATTTACTATCATTAGTTTTTGTCATGCCTATGTATTAATTTCTCTCACACTTGACATAATTTTAAATCGCTAGGAAACTCCTACTTGGGTGATGTTTCTTACTAAAAAATATGATTATGCTCTCCTAAATAAGAAATTCGTAAGAAACTTAATACATAAATTCTTACATCTCATTTCCAATTTACTATCATTAGTTTTTGTCATGCCTATGTATTAATTTCTCTCACACTTGACATAATTTTAAATCGCTAGGAAACTCCTACTTGGGTGATGTTTCTTACTAAAAAATATGATTATGCTCTCCTAAATAAGAAATTCGTAAGAAACTCACTTCTGTTGAGGAGGGAACTGATTCCCACTTGAAATAGAATCTCTCAAACATACAAATCTCAAAGAAACAAAAGAAAAACAACTAATGCTTATTCTAATACTTTCTATTTGCATTATTATATCTATTTATACTTAATGGAGACAATTTGCAATTGACATCAATCTCTAATATTTATTCATATTTTAACACATATATTACAACTAAGCAAGAAAAATAGTTGTTAGAAAATATTTATATATTTTTAATGTGTAAAATATATTCACCCCCCCTTCCCCATCCCCATTTCGTGCAACTATGGTTTTCCAAGGTATTGTATTAGAAACTATAGAAATAGTTTTATTTGATGTCTAAACCTGTATGGATATCTATTGCATGACAGTAATAGCTTTTGAATGCTAACTACGGTTGTGCAATGGTTACTTCAAACTGTTATTGGTTGGTTGAATGGATTGCATTGATATATTTTTTGTGGTTTCTGAAATGATTTCCACTTCTGTAAGTATTAGCTTATAACTTGAAAAGGTAAGATATTCTTCACACTTTGAATACTTGTATGACCTTACTATTGGATTTAGACATTTATTTTCTATATTTTTCTCTCTTCATGGTCTTTTTCTTCATGCAAATGTGGTTAATATCTCATAATGTTATTAAACACCAAGATGGAGATTATATTTAATGGTAGTTCATGATTGTATGATGCAGATCATACTAACTAATATTTATTGTATTTTCTTTCCAATCCATGTCTTGTACAGGAGTTTAATCAAAGGGTGATGGAAGGTTTCCAAGTTACCCCACTTTGGCATCAAGGTTTCATTCGTGATGATGGGAGGTGTGTCTCTCTTTGGTTACTTGTTGGAGATATTTTGAATCATGTATTTTATTGCTGCTTAAATCATATAATAGTTTTGCATCTTGACTAGAACATAATATCAATTTATTGCAATATGTATATGAGTAATAGATAAACAAGCTTCATGATCACGTACAGAAAGAATTTTTTAACTTCCAATTTATTTGGATAGGATTTACGACTTTCCAGTTTTTATTTGTTGAGTGTAGTTTGTTCATTTTTCTTTAAAGGAGATTTGGATTTAAAACTTGTATTCATCACTTTTTGGTTCTCTGTCTTCTTGTTTTCTTCTTCAGGACCACTCAATTTAGTCCTCCTAAATATTGTACTGGAGCTTCTCTGCTCCACATATAACATTCTTTTGGGTTCTCACAATCAATTATTCAGTCTCTAGTATAATTTGTTAAGATACTGATGAATAATTGAAAACCCTTGTGACATCTTAATCTTTGCTGACAAGGATTATGCTATGTATGATTCTCCATCTCTTCTTCATTACATATCTGATATGTCCATGATTATTAGAGTTTCATTGATCTTAATGATTATTGCCTTCATTTAATCTTCTTTAGTATAATTTGTTAAGATACTAATCAATAAATAAACCCGTATGATATCTTAATTTTTGCTGACATGGATTATGTATGATTCTCCATCTCTTCATTACATATGTGATATGATCATGATTATTAGAGCTTCATTGGTCTCAAAGACTTTTGTCTTCATTTAATTTCTGGACTGTGACATGGTACAAGAGCTTCTTTATACTAGCTGAATTCTCCTCTTTGTTCAGGGACTATTGATAGTCAACAAACTTGTGAACCTAGGATCTAGTATGGCTGATGCATACATAGGATTGATAATTTTTTCTAGCCCCCCTTCATATTTTTTTTTAATTTAATTTCCAGCACTGTTATTAATATTTGCAGCCACAGCCAGCTACTGAAAAGCCCAAAAACTATCCCAAAATTCAAATATTTGACCCTATAATTGTAAACCTAATTTTCATACTAATCCTATAATCTTAATTCATTCCCTGCTGGCCAGAATTCCTCTGCTGCTTCTTGTGCTGTGCCCGATTATAATCTTAGTTTTGAAAATTTCGACAATATTTTTTTAGAGGATTTAGAGTTGTGTTGGATTGATCTTTCAGCATGAGGTGTGAGTGTGAGTGTATGCTGGCACTAGTGCTAGCTAGCAGGGAATGGTCACCACACCACTTTAGGTGCTATTTTACATATATTATGGTGTACATCTCACCCTCCCTAGACATCGTTTTATGTGGTTCACCCCAAAACTAGGGCTTTACGTCCACGGCTGTTGCAGTTTTTTACTATGATCAGAAAGCTACTGAGCATAGAGATTGCCGTCTCCTCCTCAACTAAAATACCTTTACTCCAAAATTTGGTTGAGTGGTCAGTGATCAGTATTTATTAGGACCCATACTATCCCAACATTTCATTGGATAGGTTGGAGATTGAGTTGAACCTGTTCTTCCCATTAATTAGAAGTCAATACATTTGCACTTTTTCTTTTTCTTTTTCTTTTTTTTTTTTTGATTGGCACTGGGGTATCCGGATCAAAACCCGACTAATCCCTAGGGGTGCACAAGCTCTTGGTAAGGAGTTTCCCGCAAGTGCACCACGGTAACCTCAAGAAATTATTTGCACCTAAGAGGTTTCGATCCCTGAACCTTGGAGGGAGCACACCCTCAAAACCCAAGGTCTTGCCACCATGCCAACCTCTTGGGGTTAATACATTTGCTCATTTTACGATGAAAAGAAAGAAACTTCATTTGAAATCAGCAATTCACTGCTCAAATATGCATTACTACGGGTAATAAAAATGGTACTGAGTGAGTGTAGAAATGAGAGGAGTAGATTTCTTGTTTTTGATGTCTTTTGTTTTATATATGTTTTTCAATTGGTTTTGTTTTTTAATGTTCTTCTGATTCTCTATCTGTGCACTAATAGGCCTGTATGATAGCTTCTCTTATTGGAAGGAGGCTGTTATACATGTAACATGACTATGAATTGATGATTTCATATTTGTTAATAATGGGGGTTGGAGATATGAAGGTGACACTATTGGAGGTGATGTTGCTACAGCCTACAGGTATACGTGAGAAGTTGGTACTTTCACAGATTTGGGTGTTGATGGTGTTGATGGATGTTAGTGTTATGTTACAGACGGTAACTGGAAAAAGTGGTGGAGATTAACTAATTTATGTTCGTACCACCAGCAAGGTAAAGGTGTTTGGCAATAGTGGTTTTGTTGTGGAATTAAAACTTGTTTTGGAAGCAAAAATATTAGGTTTTTATTGCAAAAAAAATACTCGAAACAATTTATGAATGTACAATACTCTTGTTAAATGTTGTAGTTAAGTTGACCCTCATTAAAGCTTAGGGACTGCGTTGGCATTATAAAATTCAAGGTGTAAAGTGGAAATTGGACCTAGTTCAGGGGGTAGATTTTTAATAAATTCCAAAGTGTTGATTTGGTTTCAAGTATTTCAATAATCCAAAGGGCAAACTTCACTTTACCCCATTGTGGTTTGGTCCATGTGTGGATTACCCCCCTATCATTTGGAAATAAAGTGCACTTTTAGCTTTTTTGTCTAACATAATGGAATGTGAGAACCACTCGCCTATGTGGAGAGTAGGTTCATTTTGAAAACGAAAATATCCCTTTCACAGCTTCAAATATATAAAAAAATGCCATTATTTTTTCTCTCTCTACTATATCTCTATCTACTCCATTTCTACACAGCGATCAACACCTCCTATACTTCCTAGAAAACATCACAATAAACATTTAGCTCATATAAATACACATGATGGTTGTAAAATGGCCTCACATCTTTGAATGTGATTTGTTGCCTTTGTTTGCTTCCATGGAAACCCATCTTCCCCCACTTCTGTTTCTCTCTCTACTTTATAAAAGTAATTCTAATTTAATTATGATAATAATTATGCACATATATATAGCTATTATGGGTTAAAATGGGTGTTAAACCGATTGCAATTATGCATATATATACTCACACACACACACACACACACATATATATTAGCAAAGATTAGTTAAACTGGGTTTTATGAAACACTAACAGAAGCAAGTGAAAAGTCTGAATTTTAATGGTAAAAATTTGAATTTTAAGACAGGTGAAAAGATAGAGGATTTGTAATTACATAGAAATTAAATGATATTCTTAAAATCTATCTTAACTCGATAGCAATGGCACCTCATCCCTTGCAATTAAATAATAGTGGTCTCATATATATATATATACACACACAACAGATGCAAATCACAAAATGGAAGTAAAAATAGAATGGGTAAGGTTTGCAATCATGTGTGTGCCACTTGGGTGCTGATTGCAGAAGTTGAATTTGTCACAGTTGGCAACCATGGAAGAAGATATATATATATATATATATATAGATAGATAGGTTTAATTTAGAAGAGAAGAGATGAAGAAGATGAAGGTATAAAGGTCAATTTACATGTTCTGTTAACAGAAGTGTGTGCTCTTAGTCCACAAACCACATGGGGGTTATGTGGTTATTTCCAAATGATAGGGGGTAATCCGCACATGGCCCAAACTAGAAGGAGGTAAAGTGAAGTTTGCCCTAATCCAAATATCTCTTCGTTCAAGGCAACAAGGACAGTAGTGTTGTGGGGACCAAATTAAATATGTTCTTTCTTGTCGAGGCCTTTTTGTAATATATGTCTAGAGTTTGGAGGTCCCACTATAAGTGTTATGAAGATTTCTACCAAAATATTATGAAATGTATTGTTTCATGAACTCCCCAAAAAAATTGTGTAGATCTGCGCTGTTTGTATTGAAAGGGGCATTAACTTTTTTGCCCATCTGTCTTATTTGGGTTTATTTTCGATTCTTCTGTTAAAATTTGTGGGTCAGCCTCATCATGATATTGGTGTGAATTTTCCCTTATCTCTCTTTTTCCAAGATTTTTTTTAGTAAAACTAGATTATAATATGTTAATTTCATCGTTCATGGTAGTTGTTGATGTTATATTGTTTGAGAAGGCAGGTTTGTATAGGATGAGTCTCTCTGCAAAAATTTCAAAATCCATGCATGATAAATAAAATGTCATCTTTTCCCCAGCACAGAACCAACCCTAGTTGTAATTTGTTTGAGACATACCATGCCAGTCTGCACATTATCATGCCAGTCCGACTTAATTTGATCAGTTAAAATTTGACTGTTTGACTGACATACCTTACAATGACAGGACAGATTATGTGGATATTGTAAAAACTGCACGCTGGGAGTACAGTACCCGCCCTCTTTATGGATGGGGCAATGTTGCGTCTAAACAGAAGTCCACAGCTGGCTGGCTTGCTGCCTTTCCTGTATTTGAACCTCATTGGCAAATATGCATGGCTGGAGGACTTTCAACAGGTAATTTGTTAATTTCTGTCTTATTCCCAATTTATGCTACTACTTGGATTGCTCCATGTCTTGCTATTAAGTGCTATTCTGTGAAGTGTGCTATCCTATTCACCTTTTTTCTTGGATGTGAATGCAATAGTGACTCAGTGTTCAAGTTTATTATTCTAACTCACTCTGCATTTAGAAGTATTACTGCACCTTGACTGTTTATTGCAAAATCTTGGGAATTCCATTCTCAGGAGCAAAAGCTCTATCTGAATACTGTATAATTGGGGTGCAATGGTAGAAACAACTCAAACTGTGGACTTATTGTCACCTGGAAACATTCGCAATGTACTCTTTTAACTCCCTAGTCCTAACATAAAAAGGAACATGTTTTAATTTGAAATTTGGAACTATATATTGCGTGGAAATATCGTTGGACATATGATGCCTGAGAATATTACTGGTCATTACTGACAGACTTTTTGAATTTTTTTTGTGTTGTCTATCTCAGGTCGGTGTAGATTGGGCCATTTTTTGCACAGCCCTACTAGTGTTAATTATTTTGGCATGTGAATGTTGCCCAATGGTGGGTGATGAACCATTTAAAAATCATGTTTTTTGTTTTTATGTTTTCATGGATTTTCACTGTCAATTACACAACATAGAATATCAGGCATTGGTTTGAGATGGTTTGGCCTACATGCTACGTGGAGTGAGTTTATCCAACTCTATGGTGTGAAAACTATGAGAGGAAGATTAGACTTGTTCTTGCTCTTCCAATTCAGGAAGACGGAAATCGTCGGTTGGGTTGGTCCAACCAAGAAAGGCGTTGGAGTCTTTGGGCATTGCTTGGGCTGAGTTAAGTAAAGACTGGCTACCTAGAAAGATCCTTCACTTCACACTTTCTATATATCTGTCTCTATTATCGGCTCCATGCTCTAGTTATGAATCGGAGATAGAACAATGGGGAGGTTGGTTGGGTTGAGGTAATGAGAAAGGACAACATTAACTTCTTTTGACCAAAATATGGCTTTGAATTTTTTGAAGCGAGCCATATGGAAGAATAGATCCATGTGGCTGACCGAAGTAATACAGATTAAGGCTTGTTGAGTTAGGTGGTAGAAATACTTGGGATGGTTACACTAGCAAAGAATCATTAAAACTTTGGCCTCCCTTTAAGTCATATTTTTTTGGAAAATGTTGATCACAATTGGTGTTTTACTTTGCTTATGCTTGCCATTAGTTTAAATAATTTCTCTATCAAATATCCCAACAGTAGTTTAGTAAATTGGTGCCTCAAAAAAGCTAATAATGAAGACATTTTCTTCTGGGTCATATCATCTTTTATCCTTTGCTTTATATGCCATGTGCTGAAAATTAGAAATGTCTTTTCTAATACTTGTATATGTATTTCAGACAACATATCCTTAGGTGCTAAATTTTTGTTCCAGGTTGGATAGAGTGGGGTGGTGAAAGGTTTGAGTTCCAAAATGCCCCTTCATATTCAGAAAAAAATTGGGGTGGAGCCTTCCCAAGAAAGTGGTTTTGGGTAAATGATTCTCCCTTCCTAGGAATCTTGCTGTAATAAAATTTCATCTTGTTTTTCTTGATGGTTTTTTAGGTTTGTTGGGTTTCATCAATTTCATTTTACTTGTACTGCTTGAAGAAAGGCAATATATAATTAAGGTGTGCCGGTCCATAAAAATGAAATTAGAAGACCCTTTTGGCCTAGGCTTCTGCTTGCTGTAAAAAGTTCATCTTGTTTTTCTCGATGGTTTTTTAAGTTTGTTGGGGTTCTTCAATTTCATTTTACTAGTACTGATTGAAGAAAGGCAATAGATAATTAAGGTGTGCGGGTCCATAAAAATGAAATTAAAGACTCTTTTGGCCTAGGTTTCTGCTTTTGTATCGAGATCCTAGATAATTTGGCTATTCATATGGGTGGTTTTCTTCCCCTACTTTGTAATACATAAATTATTTCTGAAACTAAGAAAATGAAAGGGAATGCTTGTCTGCTAGATGCAAAAAAACTATGAAGAATACATCTAGATTTCAATTTTGGCTATGGACTGCATTCTGGTCTACCAAAGTGGACATTATGGTTTTCCAAGCCATTGTAACTTTTTCTAGTGCTACATCTTTGTAAGGACATTTCTCTCTCTCTCTCTCTCTCTCTCTCTCTCTCTCTATAGGTTCAATGTAATGTCTTTGAAGGTGCAAGTGGAGAGGTTGCTTTGACTGCAGGAGGTGGATTGAGGCAACTTCCTGGAGTTACAGAGACATTTGAAAATGCTGCAATGGTAATTTTCTGTAGAGTTCCTGCATCACTTTTTCTCTTCTTTCCTTATTTTTGCTTCTATTATGTATCTGTCAAAAAAAAAATTTCTTCAGATGAAAATAAATTTAAGGAGAAAGATATATTGCAAATGTAGGAAGAAAGGATGAAAGTATACAATGTTTGTGTTTCTGGGTGTATCTATATGTATATGTGCACCTTTTGACTTGGGACAAAACAGGATTTCTTTAACAGAATTCTCCTAATGTATAAGCAAATATGAATATCAAGCTTTATTGCATTTGCTTTGTGTACATTTCCTTCTTTGCATTTTTCTTTGTAATGGACTGCTGGTGTTATAGTACTCTTCTTCAGCAGTAAGACAAGTTATGGTTTGTTTGTTTGTTTAAAAAAAAAAAAAAACCTCAGATTGACTTAAGTTGGTGCATTTCTTTGGTTAGCTCTAATGCTTTAGACACTGAAGGACTCCTTGTCTTTCAGCCCAAAATTAATTTTCTCCTGCTTCATCTACATATTATTCTCACTAAATATTGTTATTTAATTACATCATAGTTTTGGGATTCCTTTTGTTGGGGAGCTTGATATGTATTTTTTGGCCACTTTCTTAAAAACTTAGGTTTTGGGGACTAGTGATTTAACATGGTATTAGAGCTCATGTTGGGGGAAGTCTTGGGTTCAAGTCTCTCCATCTGTATTTGTTTCTGCATTATGTTTCTTTCTATGTTTGGATGATTGCATTTCCATGTGCAAGACATGGTTGGGCGTGACGGAGGGTGTTGGAGAGCTTGATATGCATTGTGTGGCTCATTTCCTTACATCTAAAGCTTTGGGTACTGGTGTTGATCTAACACCTTTCTCAGTGCTAAATAGTGTTATGTTTAATGCACATAGCACCATTTGGTTTCCCATACGAAAACAGCATAGTTGAAGCTAATATCTGGAGATAAATCTAACTTTCTGGTCATTGTAAAATTGTATATTCTGTTTTCAGGTCCTTCCTTGTAGGAACTACGCAATTATCCTTTAGGTAGTGAATGACTAGTGATGATTACATACTTATGCAGATTGGCATTCACTATGAAGGAATTTTCTATGAATTTGTGCCATGGAATGGAGTTGTTGATTTTGAAATTGCTCCATGGGGTCACTGGTGTGTGTCTGCAGAGAATGAAACACATAAGGTAATTGTGTATCTATTAGGTTTGTTTTCGTCTGTTCTATCTACTAGTGGTATCCTTGTATGACAAAACTTTCTTTGGAAGCAAAATCGGTGACCTCAAATGTTGGTCAGTTTCCCTTCATCTGGCCAAGTGTCAAGATGATCTTATGCAATATCTTGAAAATGTGCTGTAGTTATCTCCAGAAAAATGAAATTCAAATATTTTCTCCGCAGGTAGAACTGGAGGCAACAACTAAGGATCCAGGTACAACTTTGCGAGCTCCCACCTCAGAAGCTGGCCTTGCTCCAGCTTGCAAAGATACTTGTTTTGGTGACTTAAGACTGAAATTGTGGGAACGGACATACAATGGCAGTGAGGGAAAGGTGTGTTTCGTTTCTCATACTTTAGTGTTCGTCTGTTCGTAAGTTGGAGAAGAAATATCAAGTCGTTTCCACTCAAACTATTGAACTCCAACCCAATGTTATTCTCATCTTAACTAGGGTAGTGATTCAGCTTTTTCAGCCCAATACTCTGCAGGTGTAGTTTGTATTCATTATGTATACATATAACATAAAGTAGTTTAATTATTGTCTCCGAACAAATTTAGGCCTTGTTTGGGGTGTCCTAAAAAAGCCTAAAAGTTAAAAAGTCATTATCCTATTTAAGTCACATCACCTCTCTACTGCACCACTTCAAACCCAACCCATATTTCATAAAAAGTCAAAAAGTGCACTTATTTAGATCATCCTAAACCACCCCTTGGGACTGGCACGACTTTTACTCAATTGGGTTTTAACTGTAAGGACCCAGACTTTTGTGAAAATCTTTAGTATCTGTAGGTCCTCCATTCAAAATTTTAGCAGCAGGAAAAAGAAGAAAGAAAAGAAAAAACAGGTGTAAATATGAGAAGTCTACTTTGTTCTTTCATATTTGAATCTGTCTGTCAATATTATAGCATAAAAAAAAAAAATAATAATAATAAAAAAAACACATGCATTGCTAAGCAAGCAATAAAACGATGAATGCTTCGGAAGTTCACTGCTACTTTTGCACTTTTTTGATCTATCCACTTTTCACAATTTTCCCTTGTGAAATTTAGGGCTTCATTAAAATGAAGAGGAACTGCTGCAATTTATGGCAGAGTTCACATTGCTCATAGAACTTCATTTCATTTTTATTCGGACTATTTAAACGATAACAATATGTTATTGTGTCTCTGTTTCATTTGACAATGATCAAAGATTTCCTTAGATTTGCTCAGATTTGATTCCTGACAAACTAGTGCGATTTTACATTTTGTTTTTTTCTTGAATTCTATCAAGGTTATTCTCAACATGTGCATGGTTAAGATAGTGCAGTCACATTATTTCTCCGTGTCTGGAAGGCAACTCACGATCGTCCTCATTATTTTTTCAATAAAATTGAGGATTGTTTTTTTTGCATGCAAAACGAATTTATCATTGAACCTTAGCAGTTCATTACATTATACATTTTATGAATCTTGTTCCTAAATGTGCAATGCGTTGATTTTTTATTTTATTTTATTTTTTAAACATGTAGATTATATTGGATGTTACAAGTAACATGGCAGCAGTAGAAGTTGGAGGTGGACCATGGTTCAACACCTGGAAAAGCAAGACATCAACACCAGAAATAGTTAGCCGTGTTGTGGGTATTCCACTGGATGTAGAACGAATATTTGGGTTGGTTCCGCTACTTAAACCCCCCGGTCTATGACCAAAAGCATTCTGATGGTTTGAATAGTAGAAGAGGGAGCATGACATAAGTGCCCTACTGCAGCAACGCGGTCGGTCATAGATGTTAATGCTGACAATGCCTTATAATGCAATTTATATGCAATTTAAATCTTATGTTGAAATGTTTATGCTGACAATACCTTATAATGCAATTTAAATCTTATGTTGGAACGACCTGCTCGGTTAGGAACTGGTGTCCATTACACTTCTGAGTTGTAACTGATGTTTGTTGAGCAGAGTTCTAGCACAAGCTGAATTTGTATATAAGAAAGAAAGAAAAAATTTATGTTCTATACAATTTTACTGTCTCTCATTTGCTTGGTGGACTTTCTATAGACTCAGGTTATGTGGAAATTTTATTACTCTATGAATCCCATTACTGGTTAGAAATGGTTTTATTTTATTTATTTTTTTCTTTATGTTAATACAATTCAAATAGCAATATGATATAACAGAAGTGATTGGTAGCTCGAATCTGTCCTTCCCCGAATCCCCCCGAAATCAAAACGACGTCGTTTCGTCGTTTTGATTTTTTTTTTTTTTTTTCAGAAGAAGAAAATCAGAAAAGAAGAAGGAAGAAGAAGAAGAACAAGAAGAACTGGAGGGCCATCAACTAGGGGAGAAGGAAGAAGAAGAACTGGAGGGGCCATCAACCAGAGGTGGAGGTGCGGTGATCGACGACGGAGGCAAAGGCCGAGCTGCGACGATCGGCCGGGCGATCTGCGACGATCGGCGGAGGCGGAGGGGCCTCTCTCTCTCTCTCTCCATTCCCTCTTCCCCTCCTCTTTCTCTTCTCCTCTCGTCTTCTCTCTTCTCTCCCTCTCTCCTCTCCTCTCTTTCTCCCTCTCTCTCTCTCTCGCCTTCCCCTTCACCTTCCCCCCTCTTCATTTTTCGGGGGATTCGAGGAATGATTTTTCGGGGGAAAAATCATTTTTCATGATATAATTTTAAATATTAAAGACATGTTTATTGTTTTATTCTTCAACAAGTCACATCTTTCAAAGAATGTGAGATTCTCATTGCAGGTGGGAATAGGATTAAGCCACATTTTTTATTTTGTTTTGTTTTTTTGTTTTTTATCTTTATTGATTTTTTAAAAAAATTGTGTCAAATTGTTTTATTTTTGCCGCCCGTCTTGTGTAAACTAATCTAAAAATAAAATAAAATTAAAAATTTTCAAAAAGAAATTAAAAGTCAAAATAGGCTTAAAAGTCCGAGAAAATTGTATTTTACCTTTTAAATTATACCTTGATGATCAATTTAATCTATGTACTTATAATTTTAATTTTGCACCTAAATTATTTGATTTTTGATCAATTTTATTTGCTGTTGTTAGCTGTCTTTTATAATCAAACGGACATTGCTGATGTGGTACTAAAATTTTGTTTGAAATTTTATTTTGCCTCCCAAACTATCTAAAAAATATCAATTAAATCTTAGATTTATATTGTTTAAGGATTTAATTGATATTTTGGAGATAGTTTGTGGGGTAAAATGAAATTTCAAATAAAGACAATAATAAGTGTTGTCTAATTAATAGATGGTAGCTGATGACAAAGGTGAAATTGATCAAAAATTGAATTGTTTCAGGTGTAAAATTAAAATTATAAGAAATATAATAGTCAAATTGATCATCGAAATATAATTTGGAAGCAAAATGAGATTTCTTCTAAAAAGTATACTATTTTTTATTTTTTTAAATCTTTTGAGAACTTTTTTTTGGACTTTTTAATTCATCTTGTTGGGTTGAATGTAGAAACATAAAACTTTTAAATTTTTTATTTTAAAAATCACTAAAAATGGCAAAAAAAAAAAAAAAAAAAAAGTCAATTCCAAACACTGATTATCTCATTCTGTCTTGATAACTGAACAAAGAATCGCAATTTCATCATTGAAAGAGATTCTGATTCCATCTTTTCATTCCTACTATGCCTAAGAGCCTTCTCGTCGTGAAATCTAAAATTAGGCAAAGTTTAGAAAATTCCAAATAATTTATCTTTTTATTTTTTTATTTTTTTTTATCATATCACCTCTCTATTTTTCTGCACATCTTTTCATAAAAAGATAAAAAGTGCATTTATTTAGGTCATCCCAAACAACCCCTTAGTTTATTTGTTTGGATTAAGTGATTTAGAGAGGTAATAAAAAATTAAAAAAACTCAGGGGTGTGTGGTATTATGGTTAAAGTTTGGGGTTTAAGTCCCAAGTCACAGGTTCAATTCTCTCCCATAGGGCTAATCTCCTCAGCAAAGCATAGTTGGTTAGAAGGTTGACTCTCAAGTTGTCTAATCAGCACTTGGTGTGAGTTCAATATTCCTCCGCTGTATGAGTCCTGACTTAAGCGGAACTTGTCTTGGGAGGTCGGGGTAAGTTCCCAGGAGAAGCGGAGCTTGTTTTGGGAGGTCGGAGTAAGTTCCCAGGTTATAGTCTCCTTACTCGGAACGGCTAACAGGACACCCTAGTGATTTCTGCAAGGGGCGCTACCTTGGACCAGCGGGAGGGTAGAGAGGATTTTCTTGTAATAAAAAAATAAAAAATAAAAAATAAAAATAAAAAAATAAAATAAAAATAAAAATCAAATCTATTGGTCTTAATCTCCTATTTGGGTTATTGAGGAGAAAAATGGGAGAAAAAGAAAAAAAAAGTTGGAGAAAAATTAATTAATTTCTCTTATATCCACTATTTGAATATCTGTAAAATGGAGAGAATGAATGAAATGCTTATTTGATTTTGTATAGTATCAAAATTGTCCATTTAAGTACTAAAGAATTAGAAACATGAAAGACTATTTTACTAATATAATTTTGTAATAGTTTGCCAAATTTTTTATGCAATATATTCAAATAAGATAAGGGAGAAATTTTTTTTTTTTTTTTGTTCTTCTTTTCTTTTCAACTTAACAATTGAAAGAGAAAACAATTTTTTTTTTTTTTTTGGGTAAGGCTAAATAGAAAGCTAAAAAGACTAAAAGATAATCATTTTATTAAAACTATTTTTATTTCAACGAACCAAACATCACCTCAGTTTTCCTAATTGAAATCTTTCTTAGTCATATTTAGATCCACATTACTTATGTCTTTAAAAAAAGAGAGGAGAAATTAAAAAAAAAAAACAAATTCAAGATTTAAGTTTTGTAACAAAATAAATCTTGAATTTTTAATTTTATTGGTAATTTAAATCTTAATATTTTGATTTGTTTTCAATTTAAGCCATTTGTCTATTTCTGTTAAGTAAAATTAGTGAAAATTTTGTATTTTAATCATTATGCTCAGTGGTGGCTCTAAATGCAACCTAATAACTTGGTTGAACACCCATTCCTTTGTACACCCCAATTAAAATTTTAAAAAGGTATGTTTGGTAACGTTTACGTTTTCAGTTTATATTTACAAAAATTTTATAAATTGGTTTTTGTTTATTTTTAGAAAAACATAAACTACAAACGTGTTTGGTAATTGACAAAATGTTTAAAAAATTTTAAAAATATAAAAAATAGTGCGAAATGGCATTAAAATTTTTGTAAATTTAAACAGAAAACTGAAAACGTAAGTGTTACCAAACGGCACCTAAACTTTTTTCTTTTATGTTCAACACTCCATTTAATCTCAACTTTACCCAACTCACTTATCTCTCCACCTCCATCGCCTCTTTGCTGGAGTCACCTCTGTCGCCACTTCTACAATTTTGTTTCTTCTTTTGCCACCCTCTCGTTTGCAATCTATCGGCAATCCCGCTGCCACCACATCTTCTTCTTCTCTTTCTTTTCCTCCTCCTCTTTCTTCTTTTGCTTCTTTACTCACCTTCTCCCTAAACCCTAGATCTAGGGTTTTAAAACGGTTTAAAGAGGAGTAGGGGGCTGGCCTGGGGATTCATGGCGGGAGAAGGGGTGCGATGGCAGAGGAGAATGACGTGGCGGCAACGATCGCAATGGTAGAGAAAAGGATAGAGAAGGACCACATCAACTATATGTACATCAAATGATAGAGACCGCTGAAAATTACATTAGAACACAAAGATCTAGTAAAAAATGATAAAAATCTCAATATGCATGAATCTGAATAAATAATTTTATAACTGAAAACATATTACGTTCTCTGTCTCAAAATATTAATATTTTTTAGAAAATTTAACATTTTTTAGTAGTATAATTATTACACTTCAAAAATATTAATGATAATAAATTTAATGGTAAATTGCAAATACACCCCCTGAAATGTACTTAAATTACAAATTATCCTCTGTAACTCTAGAAATTACATTATGCCCTTAAGGTTTATAATTTCATAACAAATAGGTCCTTTTATTAATAAATCATCAAGTTAATTAACAATTTTTAATAATGTTAAAATTTTATTTCAATTAATAATTCAGGTAATTTTATTATTGTATAGGTAAATAGTTAGAAATTTCACTTTTTTAATTAATTCTGTTAAATACAAATTTTTAACATGGAGATATTTGTAATTTTCAAACCATAGGGGACAATTTATATTTTAAGCAAACCTCAGGGGGTATATCTGTAATTTATTCTAAAATAGAAATTCATGTTGTTTTAATAATTGATTTTTAAAAAGAGAATCATCATGTTTGGTTCTTTTTTTTTGTTTTTTTGAATTATTTTTCTAAAAAGTGATTTGAAAACTTTATTTTGAAAAATGATCTTTGTTTGGTTCTTAAAAAATACATTATTGCAAATTTAAGTTTTCCTCCAATTTAAGGAGATAGATAATTTTTTTAAAAATATCACATCAAAAAATACTCTCATGTTAGTTATATATATATATATATATATATATATGTACATGCTATATATGTATATGATAACATAATTTGATCTGTATCCATTTATGGGTACATATTCTACCATTAAATGTGTGACTTTATCATAAAATTTTCACTCATAAATTTATATTTTCAATTTGTTTTCATAAATTGTTAAAGCTAATATAAATTTTGCTTCTTATTTGAAATTGTAAATGTATATTTAAAAATTGTGCAAATAATTTTTGAAGCCCATTATTAATACACTAAATACCAAAAAGATTAAAAAATACAAAAAAAAAATGTACATTTTCATATTTTGAAAATTTTATGAAAACTTTGTACAAAAAAGTGTACCAAAAGATTAAAAAATACAAAAAAGTGTACATTTTCAAAAAAAAGTGTAAACTCAAGAAAAAGTAATCACAAGTCAAATTTTGAAAACTTTGTCCGGTTTTAAAATAATCAAATAAAAACTTTAAAATTTAAAAAGAAATGAGTTTAGAAAATAAGAACCGAAAACAATGAATAATATTTTTAAAAAAGAAAAAATAAAATAAAAAATTAATATTTTAAGATAGAGAAAATAAAATAATTTAAAATATAACTTTTAATGACAGAAAATCACGTGCTACAAGAACTACACATGCTTTGTTTTTCATAAGGAAAATATCTCAGACCTCCAGTGGGGGTGACCTCTAGTACCCCACTGTTTTTTAATTAGCTCAAATTTATTTATTTATTTATTTATTTTTCTTTTTCTCAATCTTACTCTCATAACCCCACACGTGGAGGTGGGGGGTGATGGGGTCATCTCCACTGGGGTCCCAACAGTGTTGTTTTCATAATTTCAACCCACGTGCTAGCTAGTAAAGTTGGTCCAGATTCTTTTGGCAAGTTAGGTTAAAAGCTGCGTTTATAGCTGGAGGGCTAAAAAAAATGGACAATGATAGAGACTATTAAAAATGGTGTTTTAAAGCAACCATTAATGATGTGATATTCACTTTTTTTTTTTTTAAAAAAAAAAAAGACACAACAACACTGTAGCAGTGGGTGAGACCTACTACCACATCATTAGTGGTGGCACTAATTAGTGCTCTCACTCATTTTTTAAAAAAATTAGATGACTTTTTTAGTTATGGAATTATTTGACGAGTGTAAAAAAATTATATATAAATTTTTAATTATACTTTTTATATTATATAGGGTTATATATGAGTAAAAATTGGGCGGAATAGTTTAGTTATTTTATTATGATGTGACATCATAAATAACTATTAACCAAAAAAATCAAAAATAACTTTTAACCATCTTCTCAAATCACTTTCTAAAAAATATCAAAAAACTTGATAAAAAATCAAAAATTAACTTTTTACAATCTTCTCAAAACACACAATGTGAAACTTTGAACAAAAGATCATTATGCGAACATAATTAAATTTTACTTACATTTTACATAACTTTATTTTATTTTCAAGTCTATACTGCAGGATTGTTGAGTTGAGGGTGTCGTTTTCGGAGCGCTTTGTTTGCGAAGTAGGTTATTTGAGTTTTTAGTTATTTAGGTTAAAATAATTGTGTAGGAAGATAATTGAATTTTTTTTATAGTTGATTTGAAGATTGTGAGAGAAAAAGTAAAATGATTAAATGTGACATTTTATTTTATTGACTATTTTAATCTATTTTATTTTTTAGTGAATTATTTTAACCTAACTCACTTCCCAAAAACACATCCTAAACTCTTAACTCGCGTTTTTACTTTTTTTTTTATTTTTTTTATTTTTATTTATTTTAATACTATACAATAATCCAAGGGGGTGTGATAATTTGGTAAGTTCTTGTGATAGAAACTTTGAGATTCCAGATTTTACTTTTTTCGGAGCTAGCTATTTGAGCTAGAGTACATATGGTTGGTAAGATGAACTTTCTAGGCTTGAACAAACAGTATATAGTGTTAAGAGTGTGGGTTCAAATTTATACCTGTTTATGAGTCCGCGATTTACTACTACATGGTTGAGTGGCTCTGCTGGGTGATCCTCAGAGGTCACCTCTCTGCGATTAGACCTGTAATATTATACAAACAAAAAATTCATACATAATGACGTGATTCATTATGAGCCTTTAAAACACCATTAAATATAAATTTATTTATAATAATAATAACGTCACATCATTCTTGTTAATTTTTTTCGTATAAATCTTATTTATTTAAAATTTTCCTCTTATTTATTTAAATTTCACACAACTACATAGTCGATCATTTATTTCTATTCCAAGACAATCAAAAGGTATAAATTAACGAAAAAATTACCAATAAATAAATTATATTATTATTTCACTACAACAAAAAAGGCTTTTGGTGACAGACTGATTTTGTCTCCAAACATCAAAATTTCGTCACTAAAGTGATCTGCGACGAAAAAAATTTGTCACCACGTTCGTGGCCTACACGTCGTCACTGAAAGTACCTGGTGATGAAAAACAATTTCGTTGCCTATTTTTCATTTTTGGCGACGAAATGTTTCGTCTCTAAATGTTGAATTTTTCGTCCTCTAAAACATCAATTTCGTCACCAAAACTAAATAATATTTTATTTTAATTATTTTTGGCGACAAAATATTTCGTCACCAAATATATTTTAGTGACGAAAGTTTTCCTCACCAATGATATGGGTTAAGGTGACAAAAAAATTCGTCACTAAAATGAGCAAAAAAGAAAATTATTCAATGACAAAAAACATTTTGTCACAAAATATTTCAATTTAGCGACAAAATATTCAGCAAATGTGACGAAATTATTTGTTTCGTACTATATCATTAGTGACAAAATTATTCGTCATGTTTTTTGAAAACTAATAGCGACATTTTTTATTTCGTCACTAATAAAAATTAAAAAATTTGAAAATGGAGGTATTATTTTTTTTTTCAAATTTTTTTCTTTTCAGTAACAATTTCCTGCGCATTTCAATAACCTGTTCAATAAAATATCTATTACAAATCAATACAAAAATCTGTTCATTTTCATAAACATCACAATCGAATTTTAGTACTATCCACAAAAATACAATATGAACTGCATGCGGATTATAAATATGTCTCCTAATATCCACAAAAAACGTCTACTAATATCCACAAAAATATAATATCAACCGCATGCAGATTACCAAACACATCTCCTAATATCCAACAAAAAACATGTTTACTAATATCAACAAAAATAAAATATCAAGGGCGGATTACCAAACATGCCCTGTAATACGAACAAAAATATAAAAATTTATAACACAACCAAAATACATGTAAGGTAATATGAACAAAAACACAAAAATGAGCTACCATCTGCCCTCCAAATTACCAAACAAGTCCATATCAAATCTCGAATCTGCAAAAAAATGAAACACACAAAAAAAATAAAAAATGCAAGTTAGACAATTATTATCTTATCCATAAAATATTCAATTTAACATGCATTTTTTGAATTAGTTTTCAAACCGGGAGTCCCGTGCTAGTTCCGTAAGTTTCCACAACTCACATTGGTCCCTCCCGAGGTGTTTGAGGTGTACCCTGGGCCGTCTCGTGGCTGTTGCACGATTTTGGCCTCCATGGCCTATTTTTAAGCTTAAGTGTGAAAAAGTGTATTTTTTAACTTAGTTTCAAATCGAGAGTCCCGTGCTAGTTCCGTAATTTTTCACAACTCACATTGGTCCCTCCTGAGGTGTTTGATGTATTCCCCAGGCTGTCTCGTGGTTGTTGCACGATTTTAACCTCTGATGGCTTACTTTTCAAGCTTAAGTGTGAGAAATTACATTTTTCGACTTAGTTTTCAAATCGGGAGTTTCGTGCTAGTTCCAAAAGTTTCCACAATTCACATTGGTTTCTCTCGAGATGTTTAAGGTGTTCCCCGGGCCGTCTCGTGGCTGTTGCATGATTTTGGCCTCCGGTGGCCTATTTTGAAGTGTAAGTATGAAAAAGTGCAATTTTGGATAGTTTTCAAACCGGAAGTCCCATGCTAGTTCCATAAGTTTTCACAACTCACATTGGTCTATCCCGAGGTGTTTGAGGTGTTCCCCGGGCCGTCTCGTGGCTGTTGCACGATTTTGGCCTCCGATGGCCTATTTTGAAGTTTAAGTGTGAAAAAATGCATTTTTGGACTTAGTTTTCAAATCGGGAATCCCGTGCTACTTCTGTGATACCCCTATTCCATAATATGTTAATTGGCCCTTAATATGAGTATGATTATGTGTTTAATATGATTTTGTGTGCTATTATGTGAAAATATATGGTTTTGAATTTCTATCTGTTCACCGTGGGAATATCTGTTTGATTATCTGCTTTGGAAATTAAATTGAAGGCCTTATTGGCCACAGAACCCGAAATTGATTGCGCCATTGTGATTGGCATAATTTTTAGAGCCTATGGTAAAGTTTAATTGAAAAATTGATTCAAACCAGATTAAGTGGATTAAATTGGTGAATTAGTACCCAATTATTTATTATTATTAAATGGAGCTAGTGGGAACTTATGTAAAGAGGCACTACACGCTCTATTCTCTCCTTATAACTTCATTTGGCTGATTGAACTCAAGATAGAGAGAGGGCCGGCTAGAGAGAGAGAGATGGAGAGTATTGTGTAATTTTTGGCTCAAGCTTGGGGATTTGAAGATTTAACTCAAGAATTGACTAGAGCTTGGGTGTTTGAAGCTCTTAGGTGAGTGAATTTGTGAATATTAGTTGTAATTTTGTGAATTCAAGTTTGATTAATGGTCTAGAACTTGGATTAGTTTGATTATAAGGAAATTGAGTTGATTTTGTTGTATTTGAAGCCAATAGATGCATGCATGTAGGAAATTACTATGAATTTCCATATTTGAACACAATATGCATAATATATGTTGAATCTTGTATGGAATCCATCTATTTGATCATCTCTTCACCAATTAAGTTGATATGAGTGAATATTTCTCACATGCAAGAGTAGATCATGGAGGTATGAGCTTTGCATGTTTGAATTTGATGTATTGGTGATGAGTTTGGGTTAATTTGAGGCATACATATAAGTAATTCAAGAAATGGAGCTTCATTGTGTTATGATTTGGTGTTGGTATCATGTGGGTATATGTATGTGTGAAATTGGAGCCATAATATGCAAGAAATGTGGTTGAAATGTCGAAATTGAACTCAAGAAACTATTCTGGAAAATCCAGAATTTATGATGTCCACTCGAGTGGGGGAACCGACGCTCGAGCGAGGAATTCATGCTCCCAGTATTTTTTTGCAGCCATGGGTCCGCTCGAACGGGGGAAGTCCATGCTCGAGCAGGGAGCTATGTAGACAAACATTTCGCTCGAGTGCCCGAGTTCACGCTCGAGCGTGAATTTGATGCAACCAGCACTTTTGCAGACCAATTGGGTCCGCTCAAGCGGGGAAGTCCACGCTCGAGCGGGGACCCTGTTTTTTGAAATTTTGTTTATGCGTCCTGTGTTTCGTTTTCCGTTCTCCTTCACTTCTAAGTACTCTTGGACATGCATTAAGCATTGTAATTGAGTTAAAGAGATAAGAATAAAGCCTAAAGAGGAAAATGTGAATTTAAGAACAGATTGAATTATTGGTGACTCTTTTGTGTTCATGGAATGTGTAGGGTCGAGCTCCAGGGCAAACCAACAAACCAGTCACTGTGAGTAATATCAATATTTGGAAGCTTGTCATTTGTCCAATTGCTAATTTTCTTATAAGCCTTATGCCTTATGATTTGTTAGTTTGAATTGTGGACAAATGTCTGACATGAATGAATGGGCCAGAGGCCGTTTTGACAAGAAAGAATGAATGGGCCAGAGGCCGTTTTGATAAGAAAGAATGGATGGGCCAAAGGCCATTTTGACATGAATGGATGGGCCAAAAGCCGTTTTGACATGAATGGATGGGTCAAAGGCCGTTTTGACATGAATAGATGAGCCAGAGGCCGTTTTGACAGGAATGAAAGATAAATGGGCCAAAGGCCAGTATGTTTGAAACCACAATCACTTGACTTAAATTGCGTATATAAACGTTAAATAAAAATGTAAATTGGGCCCAAGGCTGTTCGGAGTATGTTGTTCTACATATAGTTTGTATCTTCTTATTTGATATTATTCACTGGGCTATCGCTCACGCTCATTCATGTATTTGTAGGTGAGCCAAGAGAGGTCCAGACTTAGCCCCAGTGAAGTCTGTGTGGAACAACCGAGTTTTGGAGAGTCAGCTCTAGTGTCTCATGCACGAGACTCTTCTTCGCCCTTCTGCTATGCTATGTTATTTTTGTCATGTTGGCGAGGACTTTGCATATGTCTGTATATAGTTTTCATGGGTTAACTTAGTTTTTGGATGATCCTGTTTGTTCAGAACTTATGCTACTGTATTTCTACTGTGAGTTATTAATGTATATATGTTTGGTTGTTTGCAGGTGCCATGTAAGCACACTCTATGGGCAAAGTTTTGAACTACTTTTGTTTGGCCCCCATTAACTCTGTTAAAATACATTTGTTTTGGTTTGAGGCCGTAGGTAATCTCATGATTACTGGCCAGTTATGTCCTTAGCCCACGGGGGCGGGTTCGGGTCATGAAAACTTCCGTAAGTTTCCACAACTCACATTGATCCCTCCCGAGGTGTTTGAGGTATTACCTGGGCCGTCTCGTGGCTGTTACATGATTTTGGCCTCCGATGGCCTATTTTTCAAGCTTAATTGTTGCTGAAAGTGCATTTTTGGACTTAGTTTTCGAACCGGGAGTCCCGTGCTAGTTCCGTAAGTTTCCACAACTCATATTTGTCCATCTCGGGGTGTTTGAGGAGTTTCTTGGGCTGTCTTGTGGCCGTTGCACGATTTTGGCCTCCGATGGCCTATTTTTGAAGTTTAAGTGTGAAAAAGTGCAATTTTGGACTTAGTTTTCAAACCGGGAGTCCCATGCTAGTTCTGTAAGTTTCGAAAACTCACATTAGTCCATCTCGAGGTGTTTGAGGTGTTTCCTGGGCCGTCTTATGGCAATTGCATGATTTTGGCCCCCGAAGGCCTATTTTCAAGCTTGAGTGTGAAAAAGTGCATTTTTGGACTTAGTTTTCAAATCGGGAGTCCTGTGCTAGTTCCGTAAGTTTCCACAGCTCACATTGGTCCCTCTTGAGGTGTTTGAGGTTTTCTTTGGGTCGTCTCGTGGCTGTTGCACGATTTTGGCCTCCAATGGCCTATTTTCAAGCTTAAGTATGAAAAAGTGCATTTTTTGACTTAGTTTTCAAACCGGGAGTCCCGTACTAGTTCCGTAAGTTTCCATAACTCACATTGGTCCCTCCTGAGGTGTTTGACGTATTCCCCGGGCCGTCTCATGGTTGTTGCACGATTTTAACCTCCGATGGCTTAGTTTTCAAGCTTAAGTGTGAAAAATTACATTTTTCGACTTAGTTTTCAAACCGGGAGTTCCATGTTAGTTTCGAATTTTCCAACAATCACATTGGTCCCTCTCAAGGTGTTTGAGGTGTTCCCCAGGCCGTCTCATGGCTGTTGCATGATTTTGGCCTCCGATGGCTTATTTTGAAGCTCAAGTGTGAAAAAATTCAATTTTGGACTTAGTTTTCAAACCGGGAGTCCCGTGCTAGTTCTGTAAGTTTCCACAACTCACATTGGTCCCTCCCGAGGTGTTTGACGTGTTCCCCAGGCCGTCTCATGGTTGTTGCACGATTTTAACCTCTGATGGCTTACTTTTCAAGCTTAAGTGTGAAAAATTACATTTTTTGACTTAGTTTTCAAACCGGGAGTTCCGTGCTAGTTCCGTAAGTTTCCACAACTCACATTGGTCCATCCCAAGGTGTTTGAGGTGTTCTCCAGGCCATCTCATGGCTGTTGCACGATTTTGGCCTCCGATGGCCTATTTTAGAAGTTTAAGTGTGAAAAAGTTCATTTTTGGACTTAGTTTTCAAACTGGGAATCCCATGCTACTTCCGTAAGTCTCTGCAACTCACATTGGTCCCTCCCGAGGTATTTGAGTTGTTACCCGGGCCGTCTCGTGGCTGTTACATGATTTTGGCCTCCGATGGCATATTTTTCAAGCTTAATTGTCGCTGAAAGTGCATTTGCGGACTTAGTTTTCGAACCGGGAGTCTCGTGCTAATTTCGTAAGATTCCACAACTCACATTTGTCCATCCCAAGGTGTTTGAGGTGTTTCCCGGGCCGTCTCGTGGCTGTTGCACGATTTTGGCCCCCGAAGGGCTATTTTGAAGCTTAAGTGTGAAAAAGTGCACTTTTGGACTTAGTTTTCAAACCGGGAGTCCCGTACTAGTTCCCTAAGTTTCCACAACTTACATTGATCCCTCCCAAGGTGTTTGAGGTGTTCCCTAGGCCATCTTGTGGCTGTTACACA